GAAGTAAATTTGCTTCATTGCAATTTAGGATCCAGATGATAGCCAAAACCAAAAAAGTACTGAGGAAATTCAGAAGGTCAATTTTGAAAGAAAAAAGTTTAATAAGGTTGTCAAAGAAGAAAGCAACAAAACTAACGAGAGTTTTTTCTTTTTGCTCTGATTCAAACGCTCACAACTATAAAACAAAACAAAATCAGGTGGCAAATGATATGTTCATGAAATGTTCAGTTCAAAAAGCAAGTCATTAAACGAGAGTTCTGCAGAGCTCTTCAATTATATTTACAAAGTCTGAAATTCAGTTCCTCATTCGACTGTAGAAGCATACGCTTTCAGTGCATATTTTTGGGCCTCAAAATTTTTTTTATTGGGGAGACGCTTTTTGAGATGTTGCCTCCTCTCTCGCAACTTGAACTAAGGCTCTTTTTTTCGTAATTTTCTCAAGCCTTTTCAGATCACCAACACTGTTTACTTTGACTTTTTTTCTGTATTATCTCCCGTCTTCTTCGGGACAGAAACCACGCAGTTATTCGTGATTTATTCGAAATTTTTTTGCTTAGCAGCTGCTTTTGCTTCTGCTTTGGGCAGGGGTTCGTTTGAGTGTATTCCGTTTACATATACTGGATTAATGTTTTTGCGTAAAATTTGTTTTCTGTTCCAAAGTACAGACTTGTCATCAATGTACACAAATTTAAAGATAGCACTCACCAAATAGCCCGCGAACTCTCCAGACAGAATATGGAATGCTTTTCTTTTTTCTATTTCAAGGTTCAATTCCCAGAAAATATTGAAAAATGGCAGAGCCTCGATGGTTAATTCATTTACTTTTCTGACATACAAGAGTGGGTTATTAATAAGGATATTTTGTTAGCGTTGGTATCTCTCTTAGGTTCTCAGACTCTCTTCCATATCATTTCGATTTTTTTTTTCTAAAATGTGATGCGAACCTGTTGGTCACCTGTTATTTTTTTCAAGTCCCTAACCTCCTTTTCTAGTAAACTCACTTTTTGGTGTTCTATTTTGTACTCACGGAACCTTACGTTTGATTTGTCTACAAACCACCACAAATATCATTCTACAAATCCAATTTAACGAGAATAGAAAATAAGTCAGTACAAGTGTTTAACATTTGAAATCAAACAGTTTCAACTTAGTTAATTGCCTTTTTAAACTGACTGTAGGCTTTTAAGTTGAGGCTGCATAAGCCATTTTTGAAGCTAAAATCATGGAAGTTCAACTGATTCTTTTTCAGACAAGCTCAAACTTCAATCATGATGCTTGTATAATTCGACTATGAGGTTTCTGCAAAGTTTTGTCAAAACTCGAACGTTCAGAATTTGGATATTTGTTAACTTGACGTTTTCTGTGACATATAAATCTAATCCGCCTCTTCTTTTTCTCTTGAACATTCAACTAAAATTTGATACCAATTTAGATGAAATAATGCGGCCGGCTAATTAACTAATACTACTCCAACCAAGTTTCTGTTTTGGCTTTGGATTTATTTGCTGAACCAAGACATCATAATTGTGAAAATTTTCGGAACCAATCTTATAATCTGAAGTAAAAATTGGCGGAATAATACTTTTTCGCCCCTTTGGAATCTTTGTTCACCCTTTCTGAAAAAAAAATTCGAGCATCTTTCTGTAAGTTTTCCTGCTTCTGCTTCATTAGTAATTTAAATTTAAAAAATTAAAACCAAGTTTCGATTTACGCGCTGTATGATTCATGATTTTTTGCTTTCTACCTACCATTTCTATTTACAGACAATAATAAAAATTTGTGAAACAAAAGTTTTGCTGTTTCCTTGTTGATTTGCTGTAAGTTTAACGAGTGACTATTCAAAATAAAGTACGAAAAAACACCATTTGAAATATACACCGCGTCACAGAGCGCTTACGACTTTATCATATAAGTGATATTGCACTTAAGTCTGTTTGAAGGACCCTTGCTCTGACCTGTTGTTTGCGTAATCACAAACTAATCAGAGCTGCTTGTGCCATCACAAGAAAGGTCGACCTAGGACATCAACCGAGCACTGATATGAAGTAGGTTTGATTCATTGCATTTTAGGATACAGATCATAGCAAAAACGAATAAACGTATTGAGGAAATTCAGAAAGTCATTGTCAATTTTAAATATCTTATAGGTTTGCCAAAAAAACAGAAAAAGAAAACAAATGAAGTTTTTTTCTTTTCGCTCCAATTTACACGTTCACAGCTGTAAAACAAAACAACATCAGGTGGCAAATGATATGTTTATGAACTTTCAATTCAAGGAATCAGATTTTTGCACAGCTTGTCAATTATAATTCAACCGACTGTAAAAGCAGAAGCTTTTCGTACCTAATTTTTGAGAGCACTATGTCTTTTTATTGAAGGAGACGCTTTTTGAGCAGTTGCATCTTCTTTAGCAACTTGAAATTTTTTTCTTCGTGGCATTTTTCTCAAGCATTTTCAGATCCTCGACCGCATTGAAACCACGCAATTACTCATTATGGTCGAGATACCTTTTTGCTTAGCAGCTGCTTTTATTTCGGCTTCAGCTTTGGGCAGGAGCTTGTTTAAAAAAATCCCTTTTTATTTTTAAAAATAATTTTCATGGTTACTTCGTTTACTCTGACATCGAAGAGTGGGTTAGGAATAGCAATACTTTCTGTGCGTGAGTATCGTTCTTGGGCTCTCAGCCTCTCTTACATATCATTTTGATTTTTTTTTCAAAAACTTGATCCAAATTTGTTGGTCATCCGTTATTTCTTTTAAGTCCCTTACTATTTTTTCTTAAAAGGCTCAACTTTTTGTCAGTATTTTTGTACCCACGGAAATTAGCTTTTGAGCTGTCACCAAACTACCACGAATATCATCCTCAGTAACCATTTTAAAAAAAACTGAAAACTATTTCAGTAAAAATTAACATTTGAGATAAATCTTTTTCAAATTACTTACATGCTTTTTAAAATGGTCGTTGGAGTTTGAGTTCAAGTTTGAAATATTTTTTTAAAGCTAAGATCAGTGAATGTCAACCAACTGTTTTTCACTCAAATGCAGACTCCGTTCATGATGCTTGCGAAAGCTCACCTTGCAAATTGCAGCGCACGGTCGACTTGAACTCGCAATCATATGATTGCTGGGCATCATCCGTACCAGATGTGCCACAACAATACAAAAATCTTTTACCACAGCTTTCAAAGTAATTAAACGAGTAAATACTTTTGTTCGTTTCCAAGAGTCAAGTGGGAAATTACAATTTATTTGTTATCCGTTCCTGATTTTCTGTACTATGCTATTTTTTGGTTGCCGCCGGCGTCATTTCGTTTTACAAAGTTCAAGTTTCAGAGTGACATTTTTTTATGACCGGATTTTGGCTAAGCAGCACCATTTGAAATATACTCCGCGTCACAGAGCGCTTATAACTTTATCTTAGAAGTGATATTGCACTAAAAGTCTGTTTGAAGGACCCTTGCTCTGACCTGTTGTTTGCGTTATCAGAAACTAATCAGAGCTGCTTGCGCCATCACAAGAAAGGTCGACATAGGACATCAACCGAGCACTGATATGAAGTAGGTTTGTTTCATTGCTATTTAGGATACAGATCATAGCAAAAACGAATAAACATATTGAGGAAACTCAGAAAGTCATTGTCAATTTTAAATATCTTATAGGTTTGCCAAAAAAAAACAGAAAAAGAAAACAAATGAAATTTTCTTTTCTTTTCGCTCCAATTTACACGTTCACAGCTGTAAAACAAAACAACGTCAGGAGGCAAATCATATGTTTATGAACTTTCAATTCAAGGAATCAGATTTTTGCACAGCTTGGCAATTAAAATTCAACCGACTGTAAAAGCAGAAGCTTTTCGTGCCTAATTTTTGAGAGCACTATGTCTTTTTATTGGAGGAGACGCTTTTTGAGCAGTTGCATCTTCTTTAACAAGTTGAAATCTTTTTTTTTCGTGGCAGTTTTCTCAAGCATTTTCAGATCCTCAACCGCATTGAAACCACGCAATTACTCATCACGTTCGAGATACCTTTTTGCTTAGCAGCTGCTTTTATTTCGGCTTCAGCTTTGGGCAGGAGCTTGTTTAAAAAAATCCCTTTTTTTAAAAATAATTTTCATGGTTACTTCGTTTACTCTGACATCGAAGAGTGGGTTAGGAATAGCAATACTTTCTGTGCGTGAGTATCGTTCTTGCGCTCTCAGCCTCTCTTACATATCATTCTGATTTTTTTTTTCAAAAACTTGATCCAAACTTGTTGGTCACCCGTTGTTTCTCTTAAGTCCCTTACTATTTTTTCTTAGTAGGCTCACCTTTTTGTCAGTATTTTTTGTACCCACGGTAAATAAAGTTTGAGCTGTCACCAAACCACCACGAATATCATCCTCAAAATCCACTTTAAAGAGAACTGAAAAATATTTCAGTAAAAATTAACATTTGAGAAAAATCTTTTTCAAATTACTTACATGCTTTTTAAAATGGTCGTTGGAGTTTGAGTTCAAGTTTGAACTATTTTTTGAAGCTAAGATCAGTGAATGTCAACCAACTGTTTCTCACTCAAACGCAGACTCTATTCATGATGCTTGCAAGCGCTCAACTTGTAAATTGCAGCGCACGGTCGATCTGAACTCGCAATCATATGATTGCTGGGCATCATCCTTACCGGATGTGCCACAACACTACAAAAACCTTTTCCCACAGCTTTCAAAGTAATTAAACGAGTTAATACTTTTGTTCGTTTCCAAGAGTTAAGCGGGAAATTACAATTTATTTACTTATCCGTTTCTGATTTTCTGTACTATGCTATTTTTTGGTTGCCGCCGGCGTCATTTCGTTTTACAAAGTTCAAGTTTCAGAGTGACATGGTTTTTATGACCGGATTTTGGCTAAGCAGCACCTTATGAGCTGTAAAAACTCTTTCTTTGACATGGTTCGTTTTTATGGCGCCAGTTAACGACTCATGTATTCAATTACCAAAACCGATTTTTTTTATAAATTGTTTATTTGAAAGTATATCATAAATTATTATATTCGAGTTTAACCAGTGAAGAATGAAAAAATACTATCGGTTTCTAGTTTTCATAAATTTTCTCTGATTCCTTCTGATGGCATTCTTTAACCGAGCGCCTCGTCGTCGAACTGGAATTCTCCCAGTCCGGACCCGCACCTCTTGGCCCTAGACAGCAGGCTTCCCAACTCTTTGATAGCATCCACCTAAACAAAATTGTAAAGCATGGTTTGCAAGATTTCAGAGGACTCGGATTAATCATTTTGTAACACTTTATTTTTATATCAATTTTTTTTCAAACTATTTTTAGTTATAAAATTGTTGTTGTAGCGCTATAGCAATATTCAGACAATATAAACTAAAGCACTTTAGATTCTTTATTTTTGCTGAGAGCCTGCTGTTAAATAAATGGTTGTAAATTTAAATTTCACGCAATAATTCGGCCTTACAAGCTTAACTACTTCGATTCTTTATCTAAATTGCAGTCTAACCATTTTTGATACAAAAAAATAAACCAGAAACAAACCTGTTCTTTGAGGAACTCTCCTTCGACAAAATCTGTAAATTGGGGGTCCCCGTTCTTCTCAGCCAGACCATGCATGTCCAGAAGCGACTGGTTGACATCTCGCTCCAACTGAAGTGCCAACGAGAGCATGTCCACTATACTTCCGTACTCAGTTGCCTGAAGAAATGATACTGGATAACTTTTGTAATCGCTGAACAAAGCAATTGTAGCCAAACGACATTTGAAAAAATGTCAAAAATATTTTGTTTTTTCTAAACGTTTCAAAATTCGACATTTAAAGAAAAAAAATTATCACCTTAGAGCACTTTGAATTTCAAAATTTTAAAGCTGTTTTGATTGTTGATTTCTCCTTTTAATTAATATCTATCATAGTAACCAAAAATTAATCACTCGCGCCATTTGCAGTTTAAGTATTGGAGAGCTTGATGTGCCTTCTTTTAAGAAACAAACTTGAATTGAACTAAAAAAAACGTAAAAAGCCAAACCACAAAAAACTCAAACTTGAATGTGAACAGCTCAATAACCTAATTGAGTGTTTTCACTTCGTTCAGTTTCATAAAAAAATTGTTTTCACCTACAATCATAACCATAATGAGTTCAAAATTTAGTATTTCGCTTTCACAAAACAAACCATTATGAAAACGTTTGATACTTTTTCGATTCATTTTCAAATGCAGTAATTCGTGGTCAAAATTATCTGACAAATTGAATGCGCAGTTACCTCTGGTTTCTTGATGTCCTGCAGAACAATTCTGCCGCCTCTCTTGTTCTGATATTTCATCAGCTTCTCCGCATGTTCACGCTCCTCCTCTGAATTCTTTAGGAAAAACTATAAAACCAACTATAAAATCACCAACATTGTCATCACAGACATTGGCAACAAAAAAAACAGTTACAGATTTTCGAATGTTAAAAAAACAATTTCCAAAAAAAACAGAGGCAACCCGAAATCACAGCGTTTCTCAAAAGGCACACATTGTTGTTTGTAAGAATTCGCCATACTAGAATAATGAACAAAAATTGACATTATGATACACAATGTTAACCTAATGTTTTGCAAACTTGTTTGGTAAAATTAGGTTCGATAAAATTTAGTCGCTAAAAAGGGAATTAGGTGAAAAAGTTAGTTAAAAGAAATCGAATTCCACGAAAAATTTGTTTAATGGTCATTTTATGACAGAGTTTTTTAATAGATGTTTTTTTAATTCACTTTGCTCATCAATAAATATGGTTGGATATGGTTTTCAAAAATGATTTTCAAACTGAGCTATTGGCTATTCATGCCAGTTAAATTTAAAAATTATCCAGCACAAATCTATCAAAACTTTATGAACTAAAAAAATTGACTTTTTAGTTTCTAAATTTTTTTTAGAGCTTTCAAAATTAAAAGAAACTTCATTGCTGTAAAGGACATCTATCATAAAACAGAGCCAAAGCAGAGATTCACACTTATTGCAATACAACTCAAAACCAGCTTGACAGCCATCCAAAGGAATCCAATTTACTTTGGGGCTTAAGCTTAACAACTTTAAGCGCTAACCTCGCATCAATTGAAAATTACAAAGCAATAATTAAAGTTGTTCTAAAATATAATGAAATCGTTAAAGCCGATTTTAAAAAAATTAAGCGAAAACAAAAACAGAACACGGAAGTTAAAATAAAATCAGATTTGGTTTGTTAACAACAAACACACATTACTTAAACTATACCGTTGGTTGACGAAATGACAGATTCGAAATCTGATAGCGCTATCTAGAAAACGTTAGTCTCTGCTAAGCAGTTTGTTTTCATGAAAAAAATTCCGTTTTGCAAACGCTTTTTATTAGCGAGCACAAAAATAAATAATTATTATGCATTTTGATAAAAGCAACCAATTTTGAGAACGAAAGGTGAAACAGCTAATTTTTTTCCGATGAGAACACTGAAGATTCATAAGAAATTTTTTTAAACTCAAAGTCGAAGTTTAGTTTTTTTGAGCAATTTCTTTTTCATGAGTCAAAAATTTAAATTGAGCTCCACTAAAAAACATACAAAATTATTGAGCTCAAAAAGAGACTAAATGTTAATAAGAGACATAAAAGTTATTCTAAAACTTAAACAGATAAAAAGCGAGCTAAAAAAGAAACTTCCTTTGACCATTTAAACAATAAATATGTCTTGTCTGAAATGACTTCGAACTTCAGGAGTATTTCACAATTGACACATCTTTGCTAAAATTACCAGAATTTGAGAAAACTGGATTAAAAGGTATACGTTTTATTCCGCAAGCAACGTATATAAATTATAATCCACTTTCAAAACAAAATTGATAAACATTTTTTCTCTTCATTAGCTGTTCGTTATTGTAGAGCATGATTTTATCTATTTTGCTAGCATGTTGAAAATTTTTTTAACAAACAGGAAAATCCAAACTGAAAAAATATCATATTTGATCGTGAACAATTTTCAAAACTTTTTTCTGAAAGAAAAAAAAATCTAGCTAAGTAACTTCACTTCGTTGATGGTCACTCAATTATTTATTTTCGTGGCATAATTACCAGGAAACATAATTGGAATGGGAGACGGAGTGCGTTACCTTGTGTAGGTTCGGGAGGGCGACGTCGTCCCTGTCGCAGTATAATGCGAGGGAGTGGTAGACGTATGAGGCTGTCAGTTCCATGTTGATCTGTTTGTTCACACCCGCCTCACACTCTTCGTGGAAGTTTTGACGACACTGCGACTTACTTGACATCTTTAGGAGTTACTAAAAATAGAATGATAAATAATAAAAATTGATTTGGTTTTTTTTAGTTTCAATAAAGTCCACCTGCATTTAATTATATGCACGCACAAATGAAAAGATGACCAAGCTTATTGTTTTCGTTAATAGAATTCTTTGTATCAGCTAAAATACACCTAGAGGGGTTTATTCTTACAATTATTTCACAAACGTCGAAAGGGTTTAGGGATCCAAAGGAGTTCAAAAGTTCATCATCCTCTCAAGTCTTAAATAAAGCTTGAAAATTTTTGAAACCGTTGTTAAAAAGAGTTAATGTCACTGACTGTTAAGTTGATTGCTGCTTAGTAGTTGAAGCCTCGCAAAATTGGGAGTTAGTTGGTTTGGATGGAAAGAGCGAACTGCCGATGAGAAGACTGAATTGTTCTAAAGATGGGCTAGTTTGTTTGTTCCACTTTTGTTTGTGCCATTTATTTTCTGATGAGCTGTATAAACAATCAACCACAAACAAATAACATATAATAGTTGACAGGCACAACAACGAACAACAAAGTTGGAAAAAGCCAAGGGGCCGGTCCAAATGTTGCAGGAGCTGATTAGATCTAATATTTACCAATTTCAAAATCACAGCTCAAAATATCATACGATAAACGATGGAAGTTTCGAAGTTTGCTACAAATAAACTCGTACCACCAAGTGGGACGGTTATGTTGTTATTTGCATCGCAAATGATCAACAGTAATTAGTCTTACGTAAACTATTGAAAATGTCAAGGGCACCGATGAATTCAATTGCTTGTTTTTCAGAGGGGCAAGGTGATAAGTGAGCGATAGTTGATACATTTTTGACTTCCAAAGATATATCAAAAAATATATCAAAGTGAATACGAGCTATACATAGCTAAGAGACATTTGGAACAGCGATATCTAACTTTAAAAAATAAAATGAACTTTTGAATTTCGAAGAGCAAATCACATAACCTTGTAACGCTCTTTCAAACAAGGAACATTTATCACAGAAAGGTTTTCAGCAAATTTAACCAGGATTGAAAAAACTGGACCAAATGGTGAAATTCTTCTGCTTGCTCTAATACGAGTTCAGTTTTCTATTGGAACTTTAATGTCATCCATTTCGCACCGTTTTCATTTCACCTTTAAAATGATTGCTACGACGACCACTCTCGAAAAAAATGAAGGAGCTATGGCCTTGAATGTTTTTTTTTCACGCAATATCATTACCTAAAGAACACTCCTAGACTATCATGGTGAAATCTAATTTCAGCTGATTCAGATACCAGAAGAATAATTAATCAGAAATTCACTCAGATAGTTTTTGATCTAAGCTTTTGATGCAAATTGCAGTTTTTTTTAAATTGTTTTCTTGCAATGAAACGTTTGTTCGGAACATTCTGTGCTATTTTCACAGCAACCAACTGCTTTTTTTTTTATTTGATTTGATATGTCAATTTTTTGAAAATACCATGAACCATTTTAAATTCTTAAGATAGAAGTAAAAAGTTCATAAATATGGAACTTTGCCATCATGAAAATATCTTTCGCCCGATCTTTCTCAAATTTTGCAAGTAAAAGCTATCAGTTGCGTATATGAGAGAAAGATTGACTTCTTCTTGAAAATATTAATATGGCTGGATAACATTTCATGAACTTAAGAAACCAAAACAGACAGTTTAAAAAAAACAGCACCAATAACAGTCTTTTATTCGGCTAAAATTAAGAAAAATCGAGCCGCCTCGTAGCTGATGTTCAAACAATGCAAGGTATTTAGTCATATTATTCATCATACTCAGCACCTTTATCCGCCACAACAATTTTCGAAGAAACAAAAAACTTCAAAATGTTGTCTGGAATGACGCACTATTCGCGAAAAAAAAAAACGTCCAGAAACACAATCGATAGCGTTTGATGAAAATTCGAAAACATATGCAACTAAAATAAAAATAGTTCTAAAGAAAAACTTTGAAAAATAAACTCTATTCTGAGATTTTTAACGTTTGTTGCAATTCGGAAGAACACATGCAAATAATGGTTCCCTTGAACGACTCCAAAGTCAAGGCTAGCAGAAATACCAATGGTAGGAGTGAATGAAAACATAAAAAGCAACTACAATGAAAATTCCAAACAGCAAAAAAATAGCATGTGGCAACTAAGCCCAAAATATAAGCAGACAAAAAATATGCCGAAAATTTTTTGCCAAGGAATATTTCCCCATTGAAGACAAAACAGGTTCTGGTCAGATTCGAACCCAGGACCTTTGCCGCCCCCGGTGTCTTCGTTACCTCCAGAAGAAACGCGCCGGAGATGCTTCGAAATTTGACTTCATTTTAAACCAAGATACCAATTGATTCTGTTAAACAAATTGAAAACCCGAATTTTAAATTCTGATTTGATAACGCTTGCCTCAAACTAAAAAACATTTTCCTAATATTAATTAGTATCAAACGCTATATGCAATTGCAGGTAGTAACTATATTATTGTTTATTAAAGCTTACTAATCACGAGCGTAATAATAAAACTTCAAAAAATTTTGATAAACATATGATGTAGATATTAAATTAATTTTCAATTACATTAAGATCAGAGAGAAGTTTAGGTATTTTTAGGGAGTGGAGGAACTTAAACTTTTATTGGCATCTTTTTAAAAATATTAACCTCAGCTTTGGTAGCCCCTTGAGCGAAAATGGTGAAGGTCAGCCAGTACTTTTTACTTTTTTACACAGTTTAGAATGACACTTGTTCTAACTCTTCTGGAGTACATGGAACAAATATCCTTATCTGTAAGTAGAGTTTGAACGCTTTTCGTTTGATTGGCAGAAATTTTCCAATCCATTTTGATTTCTGTTTTCATTTTGATTCCTGTATGGACAATGGTTTTTTGATATTTTTTCAAATTTTTTTTCCAATTCATAGATACTAGCGAGTAACGCAACTCAAAAAATCCTAAATTTTGGCAAAAAAACTGCATTCTTTGAGTGTACTCTGACAGCACCGAGATACATGGCTGGTTATTTTAAATTTTGTAAAAAAAAGTTTATTCAAGTTTTGTTTAAATCTAATTTTTAATAACCATAAACTTTTTTATATCCAAATTCTTTGAAAAATTTTAAAATTAAGAAAAAAACATCACATCTCATAATCTAAAACTAATTAGGCAGTGGCATTCGAACTCAAGATTTGCAATTCCTGAAAGAGCACTTACAGTACCCCTGAGAGTACCCTCACAATATCCAACAACATGATTGAGATCTTCAACGTTTTGAAATTTTTTAAAATCTAAGTTTTTGAAACTTTTTGAAAAAATCATGAAAAACGACAAATCTCGAAAGCTTTAAGGATTTGAGCAGTTATATTTGGAAGAAAAAATCAAAATTCTTGTGAGTACCCTTACAGAGCTTCACTATAGAGGTGGGAATTTCAAATTTTGTGAAATTTTTAATATCTAAATTCTTTGAAAAATCTTTAAAAACATAATATCTCGAAAACTACAAGAATTTGAGCAGTCAAATTCAGAGGAAAGATTTGCAACTCCTGAAAATACCCTCACTTTTTCCAACTACAGGATTGAGACCTTCAAAGATTTTTTTTAATTTCCAGTTTTTTGAAAAGTTTTGAAAAAGTCATTAAAAACGTCATATCTCGAAAACTACAAGGATTAGAGAAGTGCAATTTGGAGGCAAGATTTTTAACCCTTGAGAGTATCCTGACAGCCCCCAACTACAGGGTTGAGAATTTCAAATTTTCTAGAAAAATATCAAAAATTGTCGTATCTCGTCGAAATATCAAAAATATGGCGGACAAAATTCCAACACCCGAGGGAACCCTGACAGCATACCACTATTGGGTTGCTAATTTCAAACTTGGTAAAATAAACACTGATTTCAAACGGAAAATTGATAAAAAAACTTTTTTAACCATTGCAATATATGATATAGGTTAAACGTGAAAAAATTCTTTTGTTAAACATGCAAAAGTAATAAGTTGAAAAAGCTTAAGCATGGCGAGATAGTGAAGATGTTGTATTTAACTATATAATAGATGTTGTTTTTTCACTGAGTATTTTCTTTGGTTTACCGACTGATTTTGAAATGAACAAATCTGAATAGATTCGAATCAGATTTATTACACAATCGGAATACGATTCATCTAACCATGTAGAGTATTTCAATTGTAGCATATATGAGAACACTATTTTTTTTAAACTGGTTTCACGTACAATTGATACACACTGAATAGCTGTTTAACCCTCAACCATTTCCTCGTTCGCTTAAATATTCCCCAAATAGTATTCATTTTTTCATTAGGCTGATGAATAGGTATCTAAGGGTCACGTTTTCAATCTATATGAAAACATAAACATCGGGAAAAGTTATCTTCAATTGGTTTATGTTCATATTTTTTCGAAGAAAAAATCACGTTGTTGGTCATATCGTATTTGAAGTCAATTTATCCGGCTTAAGCCGTGCTGATACTTCGTTCAAGCATTTTGATGAGTTCTGATGTCATTTGAATCTGCACTTCTCTTTACCATTAAGTGTCATCTTCGTATAGAATCATTTTTGAGTGGACCTGGGATGTCATTAAGAAACGATGAACAAAAGAGGACCGATAATTAGCCCTGAGGTACACCGAACCTCACATTTTCTGCGCTGGATTTGTTCCTGTGAAAATATATTGCTTCCAGTTCCACAAATAAGTCTTCATGTTTTCGTGCCCGGTTCTTCTCAATGTGTAGTTATAACATTCAACCAAAAGGTCGTTTGTAGCTCACTGTATCAAACGCTTTTTTTTAATCGAGAAATTACAAAAAATGCTCTCAGATTGATCGTCCCAATTCTTTCTAATCTTTTCAATTTAAAATGGCATGGCATAAACTGTATCAAGTATACTACAAAAGCCATACTGATAACGCAACAAAACGTTAATTTTGGTCAAGAACTGAATTTTTCTTTTATACATAGATCGTTCCGCAAAATTTCCGATGAAAAGTATTTATCTATAGTGCGAATGATTTTTTGAATAAGTAATTTTATCGAAAAAAAAAACTAATTTTTCATGGTTTATCCTTCTATAATAAACCTGCTCGCTTGCCTGACTCGCTCCAAAATAAACTAAACTCAAAAAAACTTACAACATGTCTTTCTCGACACTTGACAAATTTGTTTTAAAAATTTCATGTCGTTTGAATCAAGATTGAAAAAGCTTTAATATGATAAATCAATCTACCCATTACGATGATTATTTAGGGCAAATGCTTTTAGTTGAAAAATAAAAAAGGCCTGTTTGCCTACCTTATTCGCTCAAAATTAGACCATAAATCAAACATTTCGAATCACCTTATTCGCTCAAAATTTAACCAAAAATCAAAAATTTGTTAGAATCACGACTGGAAGGACTTTAATACGATATATGATTCCAATGATTTTGCGCTGGAAAAAGAAAAAACTAAAACACACACGAATAAAAATTTCCTCTCATTTTCAATGGTCGTAATAACAAGCTTTGAGAAACCCATTTAAACCAAAATTTGATCAATTTAAAAATTAATTTAACAATGGTATTTTAAAAATAATCTAATCAAATTGAAGAAAGCTCGGTTAATTAGTGTTTTATTCCATTGAAAAACCTAAAAACTGATTTCAATTTTAAAAATAAACCGCCAATTTTAGCTCCATTTAAACTTTTATGATTGCAGCGCTTTATTTGCCTTCAGAAATGCATATGAACTTCATAAAGAGGCCAAACTGTGCATTGTAAACGGATTCCGTAACAGGACAAAATCAGATTTGTCGCGGATTCCGCAACATTGCCACTTTTCTTTGATATTCTTTGCTGTTTCGAGTCCAGAACTGTATTTGCGGAGTCCAGAACAGTTTGTGGAATCCACAAAAAAATAATAAGACATGTGTAAAATTACATTGAGCTGTAGCGGAATCCGCAACTGTAAGCGGAATCCGCAAATTGTAGGTGGAATCCGCAAATTGTTTAAGTCATCCGCGAATTGTAAATGGAATCCACATTTCCGGATTCCACTTACATACAGACACAAAATTGAGCGCCTATACAGTACACAGTTTGTATACAGTACACACCTCGTAATGTTGAAAAGTTTAGAAAATAGACTTAAGTAAGTGTATCCACTTTGTTCACTGACACCTCAACAGACAATAACATTAACAAAAAAAAACAATAAAAAATAGGCTCGGCAATTAGGGCACAGCCTTTTATGTTCCGATTACCCAGCATGAACTCTGATGTAATTTTTTCTTAAGAAAACAAACAAAACTATTATGGAATTAAGTTTTTTTTGCAAAGCTTCCCACCACAAGCATGATAAAGCATCGAGAGAGGCAGTTCGCCTAATCTAGCTCAGCATTGGCAATTATCTAATCTCGTTTGACATGGTAAGAACTCAAGAGCTGTATTAATTAGGCGCATTTGAAGCATTTAAAGAAAAAAATTAAAAAATACGCTATTGAGCATCTCAAACTCGCTCGCCAAATTCCTCTTCTGATGGTCAGAAAAACTCCGCCGCGTACTTTTAAAGATAAACATTTTATATAATAATATTTTTAAATAATAATATTTACAGAACGCTCAAAAGCAAGGCATGATTTTCAGACATCCTTATTAGAAATTCCACAGTATCAGTACAATGTATCAGTACAATGAGAAGAGCTGACCTTAAATTGGTTATTTTTCTCATTATGGTTTTCTTCAAATGCGGTTTTTTGCTCGGTGTACTGTCTAAATAATTAATTTTGTTCAAAAGCTTATGCAGTTGATCAGTGAAATTCTACTAAGGACACAAAAAATTCTGGTTGTGTCGTCTATCACGCGATACCGAGTTCGTTCGCAATTTACGATGCGGAGCACCACCTGGATTGAGCCCTGCTGAAAAAGATTTTTATATAGATGCCTTTAAATACAGCTGCTCGCTAGTTATTACTTGCAAACAACTTTTTGCCAAATTACCTGTTCTGTTACTCTCTTCAAAAGCCAATTATCAGAGTTTTAAGTATTTTTCTGTAATGCTAGCAAAGCTCAAAAAACCATTAACGATTTTCACATTTTTACATCAAGCAGAAAAAAAATAATTGATTTAAAATAGTATTTTTTTCCTAATATGATCAATTTTGTTCGTTTTTGTCGGGTTATTCCATTTGTGTTTTGTGGCTAAAAAGGGAGATATCGTCAAAAGCTTACGTCGAGCAGGGATGAAATACCACTCAGCACTGCCAAACTTTTGGTCGCGAAATCTACCTCGCGCGACCAGCTTTGTTCGAGAATTAAGTCCTGCTCAATTAGAGTATAATTCAAAACATCTTAAATTACAGCTGCTCTCTATCTTCCGTCTACAACAAATCAGTGATCAACAAGATAAACATTAAGCCTTTTTCTATTAAGTTCATTTAAAAAAAATACTTCCACAGTAATGATTTTCGTCAACCATAAATCATTAGGATTTTTCAGTTATACCTTTCTTACAGATCAAAATTTAAAAGAATTTTTTTCATCACACAATTGGATTTATTTTATTCAGCAAAGCAAGATAAGATATCAAAATGAGATGGCCAAACTGAAGCTATTTCATTTATTTAGCCTCAAACGAGTTTGAGTAGTAAGGGCATTTTTAATTGTAGCTGAACTTTTAGTTGAAAATTCGAAAACGATTGCAATTTGTTGATTATTTAGTTAGCAACTTTCAGAAATGGTCCGATGCTCTGAACATCGGCACTGTATTTCTTAGTAAAATCGATCCATTTTCATTATCAAAACATTTTTTTTTTCAATACTCAGAGGGTTATAACTAAAAAAAACCATATCACTTTTCTGGGTTCGGAGACACAATTAAACCTTAGCCTAACACTGCAAACTTGGAGGGCAGCAGACAGCAACAGATCACAAGTCGATACAGGCCTTCATTTGTTGACAACAATTTCTAGGCTGAATGATTGGTTGAGCTAATACAAAGCTTGATTTCCAAACACATCACACAACCAAACCTTTTATACTAACTTCAACTACTCTTAGTCATGTTTTTGACAGTTTTTAATAACATAGCCAACAGACAGTTGGAAAAGAGTCAATGAATGCAAGAAAACGAAAAAAACGGATGTGCTTTTATGAAAAAACTGTGAAAATTTTGAATTTCAAGGAGAAAAGTAGATGCCCAAAAAATTAAACCTTAAAATTCATGATTGACACGACACCTTCTTGAGGACAATAACTGAAGTTGAAAAAACTGGACCAATAAATAAATTTTTTATTTTTTAGGGAAATCTGAAAATTAAATTCCAATTTTGAAACTAGAAGTCGATCACGTTGTTCGTGACCTTTGCACTTCTGCTCTTCGATAGTGCAGTTTGCCTTCCTTTTAACCAAGTAAATGAAGTAAACTTAAAAACAAATCAAAAGTCAAACCACGAAAAACTAAACTTGAGCTTGACCAAACTTTATACACAGGCGAAGTTGCACTTCGCATACACAAGCAAAAATATGACCGATAACGCTACTGGAAAAAACTGAATGCGTGAAATTTTGAGTCTTAATTTTTTTTAAGTGACGCACACCAATTATGAGCCTACATAATTGCTAAGTGACGCAAGCTAATTATGACGCATTACAGTCTCGGGACTATTTTCTCAAAAATATATAGACCTTCAAGAAACGATAAAATTTAATGGTATTTTGGACCAAATTTTCTGCACCGCAGTCGAATTTTAGAAAGAAGCGTTTTTAAGCCCTTTTTGGAAAGTTTTGACCAAAAATCGAGTTTTTTCGGCGCGCGCTCCCCCTGAAAATTAGTCTATGTTGGCGCCCACGGCGCTTTTAGAAAAATTTTAGGGTCAGTCAGCCAAAAACTGACATCTCAAAATAGTACAAAGGTAACCTTTTGGGTCGGCAGGGGAACAAATCACTGAGGGGGTCTCTAGAAAATATAGACTTAAAAACATAAGACCAAATTATGATTTTTATAGACCAGTCTATAAATATAGACCAAGTGGCCAGCCTGGCGCATTGGCACTAACAGTCAATTTGAAAAAAAAAAGAAATTTACCAACTAACATGCCTCAATTTATAGAACGGATGTATCTTAACTAGTATACCCTCTTATTTTGTTGCCGGTCTCCTTCCCTACCTCTACGCTACAGATCCTTAATACCTGGAAGCTGAAGTGCCATTTGTATTATAATAAACTTGTGTTAATATTCTTAGCATTGGCTGTACTTAATAGCTAGTTATTGGATTACAATGAACACTTTCAAAAAGAACACATTTTGTCGCAACAATATTTGCGACTTAGGTTGTAAAGAAGAGAGTTTATACTATAACACAAGCTTTGCTTGGGCAAAGACAGAACAAATGAAAAAAAAAATTATCGCGACCGTTGTAAGAGTCTGAACTACGTTCTTCGTCTCTTAACAAACCAAAATTTCTGACGTAACTTGAAACACTAAATAGTTCCAACATGACGTCGAGGTTTCTTTCCTTGCATCAAATTAAACATTTTTAAAACTTTCTCACGTTAAAGTTACATTTAGGTTTCCCGGATCACCAATAATTTCCTTGGATCTATTAAACAAACTTCTTCTATTTTTGGAATCAGTTCAATCAGCCCGTTAATAGTGTTTAGCGACCCAGTAGTGTAAATTTACACTCCCACCCTGATCAAGAATTCAGGACCAACTAATTTAAATAATCAAGATTTGACATTAGATTCACGTAACTAACCATAATCAATAACGCTATAAGTCTATAACGACTCTTTGGAGACAATCCACTTCACCCCTATTTTCATTGACCCTGGCTAGAAAACAATCTATTCAAGAAACACCTAAAAAGCTTTCAACAAACTACTTGTACTTATTTATAACTAAGCCTTATGAATTGATTCAACCTTTGATCAAACACCAATACCCCCTAGATAACAGTAACTTAAAACCGTCTTGGATACAAGCTTCCCCAAGTACACATGAAGCGTTATTTGATCTGAGTGAATTTATTCGACGTGAAAAAAGTTGTTTAGTCGACGTGAATTTTGTCAACGAACAAAATTTGCAAAAAATCTGTGGCGCTGACCCAGGATTTGTGTCGTTTATGCAAAAAAAAATAAAAAATTCGAAAATTTCGTCGACAGGTTTTCAAGTCTATCAATATAATTTTTTGTAAGGTCCGTGTTTAGAACTACTTTAAAACAAAAAAAATCAGACCTATACAAGACAAACTCATTTCGTTGTTTTACACTTAAAATGAACAGAAAACACCACCTAAATAAGTGTCTTCACTTCGTTGATTAACACTTGATAATAAAAACGTTAACTCTAACTATGTTAGTCTAACAAATCATCAGTTATTATAAGTTCAAGGCTGGGCCACAGACAGCGAAGAGATTCCTTTGATCTTTCTCAGAGTAGCATGTAGTGCAGTTTTAAATGAGATATCTTGCTTTGCTGTCTTTCTGCTCTTTGCCATTCCGGTTGGACTTCCGAGGTCCATACTGCCTTGACGAGAAGAGGGCGAAAATGATGGCGCCGTCGGCGAATTCAGTAAACTCGGTTGGGCCAATTGTGAGAAACCCAATGGAAGTGAAGTAATAATCACAAAGTTGTCATCGTAACGGCAACACAAAAAGCGAACCATTTGTTCAAACGCAGTCTCGTAGCTATCTATTGACTTTGAATTGGCCTGGCTACTCCCAAAACCTTCCGAGCTTCTGTCCAAATCTTTGTAAATTTCAACATACTCGTTGGAGTAAAATGACCCGATTGATAAACTTCGCCATTTCACTCTCAGCAACTTACAAACTGCTTCTAGAAAAGTTTCCACGCAAGACGCCTGCTGTGAATCGGAATGAACTATACTGTGTACTAGTTCGATACCATGGTACTTGAGATTAAGAGATGGAGACCCACAGATTCCACTGAGCAGGAAGGCTTCGATATCCCTAGCCGGATCGCCTATCAACAACCAGTTTAACATTCAAAAAACCTACAAATTCACGTAAAATTTGCAATTCATTAACTACCTCTCGAAAAAATTTCGATCAAATTGTATTACATTAATGCTATAATTGTCAACTTGAAATTCTATTGAAGAAGGCATTTTATTCTCAATAATAGTATACTTTCTACTCAAATAAAACAGAAGATTTCATCATATTTACCTTTTTCTGGTCCTTCATTTGACTGGTTAAACAAGATCCAGCAGGAGACTTTGTTCGTTTTGGAGAAGGTGGAGAGGGAAGATGAAATCCAGTTCTTGGAGTGGAATACTTTCTCCCACTCTGGGAAGAGATCAGCTGCTGATATTCTGTTGAGGTTGTTGGAGAAGTAGCATCCGAAAAGGGCAGATAGAAAAGAAGTCACGCCAGACAAATACCTAAAAGGCACATTCATGAAGTTAGTCACTCAACGTTTAGAACACTAACTTCAAAATATTTATTTGAAAGAATGAAGTTACTTCAAAATCATCGTGACCTCACAAAACCTTTAACACAGAGAAATTTAAAAAATGTTTTAGTTGGAATATGAATGAAATCAATCGAGACTACTACAGACAAATTGATCAACTGATTTCAAGAAAAAAACAGTAAGAGATCCAGAAAACATTCGCGAAAAGCGAACCGTCAGATTTCAAATCATCTGATAGCAAAATTTTTTACGGGGAAAAAGTACACTGCCCAAAATTCTGCATCGAGACTAAATGCGTCCGATCACAGAAGAGAAGTTGAAATGAATTTATTCACAAAAACCTAACGTCAAAATATTATTCTTTGGTTTGGACGAAGAGCCCCAAAACACAGCTGAAAGGGTCCTTGCTGCTGTACTAGACGCCGCTTTACTCTGAACAGAAGACGCTGAAATTGAGCCTGGCGTAAATGTTGCGGCGATGTCAAACACATTGCTACGTAAACTTGCTAAGGCTGCCAAACATTTCTCAGCACGCTTCAAGCAATTCAGCGCTGAAGTTATTTGAAGATGGTTGATGTGTCTGACAGAATCCGCGATAAGTTCCACCAGCATCATTTCTAGCATCACATTTTGCTGAACAAACAAAACCATCTGAGTCATTTCAAGATGTCGAGTTACACATAAGTCAAAAACTATGGAGGTCAAAAAATGAGAAAAAAATTCAGACCAGTTTTTCTGAACACAGAGATAACTTTTCTGTATCCGAATCACGGCCAATGGGACTTTAATATGATAAACAAGCTTTCCTTGTAGTAGTCAAAATTTACTGGAAAAAAATCAAAAAACGGACCCTACTCTTTAGTTTCTTCACTCTTCGAGAATGCTCGGAACAAAACCATTAAGCATTAAGCCAAATTAAGTATAAACTAAGTATTTCGAAAATATTTCGAGATATATTGAGTTGGAAAAACGATTTTTTATTATTGTATTGATAATTGAAGCATATAGCTTTTTTCGGTTCTTTTGAACAATGAGAAATGCATCAACTGTGCTAACGTATAACTAATCGAACGTCAAAGCAAATCCTATCAAAAAGCTGTAAAGGTGCTCCATTTGCGACTTAGGTTAGAAAACAAGAAGACTCTTAATAACACACTCAGCTGACGCTAGTGTTATGATTGACACTTTTTTGAACATAGCCAACTGACAGTTGGAAACGAGTATTGAACGCAAGAAAACTGAAAAATCCGTTTTCAAATATAGAAGTCGATAACATTTTTTACCTTTAGACTTTCGCTGTTCGATAGTGCAGTTTGCCTTCTTTTTAACAAAGGAAATTAACTGAACTTCAAAAGAACCAAAAGTCAATCAGCGAAAAAGTAAACTTGAGCTTGAACAAATTTTAAGACAATGGCACTATCATCAAATTTTCATACAGAAGCGAATCTGCATTTTGCAAACAAGGAGGCTTTTCAAATTGTAAGAAAAATCAAAAAGAAAAACTGGAAAAACAATGTAAAATATTACCAGGAACCGAATCTCCGCTGAAGACAACCAATTATAATCAGTTGCCAGTTGAGCTTTGTGCATTTGCTTTCAGCCAAAAACCAACCAATAATTTAATGTTTGCTCCTAGGACCAACGAAAAACAATGTTGAATATCACCAGGAACAGAATCTCAGCCGAAGACAACCAATTATAATCAGTTGCCAGCTGAACTTTGTGCATTTGCTTTCAGCCAAAAACCAACCAATAATTTAATGTTTGCTCCTAGGACCAACGAAAAACAATGTAAAATATCACCAGGAACAGAATCTCAGCCGACGACAACCAATTATAATCAGTTGCCAGCTGAACTTTGTGCATTTACATTCAGCCAAAAACCAACCAATAATTTAGTGTTTGCTCCTAGGAGTATTCAGCTGGCAATTTAGCGCTGAAGTTATTTGAAGATGGTTGATGTGTCTGACAGAATCCGCGATAAGTTCCACCAGCATCATTTCTAGCATCACATTTTAGCCTAATTAGCCTAATTGTTGTGATAAACTTATTAAATAGTTTCAGAGAGTGATGAAACACTAGTTGCCATTCTTTGGGCACTGACTACTAACTTCAGCATATTATCCTTGACACCAACAGCACCATTATTCCTGGCATTTTCCTGGCTTCACACAATGTCAACACCAATGCTTCTGATGCTGCCCGACGACTTCACGAAACTCAATCCCGAACAAAAAGATAAGTACTACGTTCAAATATATAACCTTGTCAATGTACTAGCAACATCCAGTAATCCTCCAAACAGTAATCAAAACGCAAAAGGACTCAGAGCACCTATTGATTTTGCTGCCAAAGTAATCCCCACTGATACTCAAAACTTGATTATTGGTTCGAGTTTTTTAGCGGAGTTTGACACGAAGGAGCTGCCCAAAGACGTGGCCGTTCATTCTTACCGCGGGTCATTTTGCAGCGAGAAACAATCAGTTGTGAAAAAGTACGACGATACTGAGCTGAAATCAGTAACCTTCCAGGACGGCACCAATTCACTCACAAGGGAACTACACAAACCTGTAGATGATATATTTGAAACTTTTTGCGCCACCATTAGTGAAATTGAGACAAAGTTTTCACCTACAATAATCAATATATGCCAAGTCCCGCCTGTGAAATCGGGACCCGATTCTGTAAGTGGTAAACGTATAACTGAATTCAACAGCCTTATTGCTCATAAATTTAAGAAAAAAAAGTATCAAATTGTTCCTATCTACGATAAAATTGTCAGCATAAACGACTATCAGTCAATCTTCTTTGATGAAGTACATTTGATGCGTTCTGTTAGTACTTTAAAAAATGCAATCATGGAAAAGGTGCTACCATTATCCAGCTTATCACCTCGAGTTGTTTCTCCGAATACTTCCAACTCTAGGGGCCCAGCGCACCCTCAGAGGAATCGTATGAAACCTGGTTCAAGCCAAGTCTCGTGGGGCCCCGAGCACCCAAAGAGTCTTGCGAGCCATGGTTTCAGCAACAATCAAACCTACAATTATATGAATACCAATCGTAGTAATTATGACTTAAGCCATAATAGATACTATCCATACTAATGCTGTTTTAGTAGTCTATTACCCAATGATCTGGATCTATCAAATTTATGTTTAGCCAATGGCTTTTAAAGACTCTCCTTATTTTCTCCCTTTTAACTAGCATTCCCATTAAGTACAATGAACCCAACAGCACCGCACTACTCAAAACTAGAAACATGACGTCTAACCGCCACTTTAGATTCACAGCTGGCATCTATTGCGCAGTTGTGATACTAACCTTTCAGATTGGAATATTGGAAATCCTGCTTCTTCAATGTGGGGACATCGAAGTCAATCCAGGTCCCGCACTTTCATATGGAATCCTGGCAAACAAAGCAAAGGAACACCACAACTTCCTCAAATATATAACTCTAAATTGTAGAAGTATAAAGAACAAACACATGGAAATGCGTTTCTTGTCAGAAATAGTTGACTCAAACACAATTATCGGTCTTACGGAAACCTGGCTTGACGAAACATGCGATCATCAAACTTATTCATTCTGCAGAACAACCCATGAAATTTTTAGATGCGACCGTAACAAAAAATGCACTGGTCAACACGCAGGTGGTGGTACTCTTCTTCTTATTCCAAAAAAATTTAACCCTAAGATTCGAGAAGATTTAAATTATCTACGTCCCTCCCATTTTGAAGGACTCTGGGTGGAATATAGCCCAATCATCTCAAAAAAATCAAAAAGACAGATAATTGCTATTGCCTACAATCCACACAAACAATTCAAGGAAATTTTTATAGAAGATACACTAAAGGGTATCGATTACGCTGCCTCCGAAGCGCGAGATGTTACGATTTTGGGAGATTTCAATATTAACTACTTGAATAAACATGAAGCTAAATTTCTCAGCGATTCTATTAAACCATACAATTTGTCAATAACCAATAAGTCGATACCGACATACAACTCTAAAAACAGCCAATCCATTTTAGATAACATTATAGCAACCAAATCTCTTTGTAAAGAAACTATTGTAGCAGAACCACCTATAAACACGGACCATTTAATAACAATGTGTATTAGCAAACTAAAACGATTCGAAAAAGCCATTCCAATTCGAACTTTTCGCTTCAACAAAACCAATTATTGTAAAAATAGGTTCTGCGAGGAACTTAAACAGAGTCCATGGTTTCTCGTCTACCAAGAAAACGATATCTCTAAAATGTTAATAAAATTTGAAGATATTTTCTCGCATGCCCTAAACGCTCACGCACCACTAGAGCAGAAGTATATCCGAAATAAACCGCAGCTACAGCTGTCTGGTAAAGTACTTAACTCAGTCAATAGACCTTTAAAACAGGAAAAATAAAATCTTCTAAAGGCATATCAATTATCAAGAACAGATGCCAATTTTGAAAACTATAAACGAATAAGAAATAAATACAACAATCATCTAAAACATTTATACAAGAAAGAGAAAACAGCTCAATTCAAAATGCTTGACTGTCCAAAAAAAAACAATGGAATTTCATAAACTCTATCAGGAACACCATGAAACAGTCAACGCAAATAGGTGATCTACGGAATTCGTTTGGCGACACTATAATTGAAAATAAGAAGAAAGCAAATTTCCTTAACTACAGGTTCTCAACATTAGGAGAATACAAAAACGCAGATCCTCCCATAGATGTACCAACTGAGTACAGTGTACACAGCAAAACAAATAGGCACTTTCAATTCAGGTTCATAACTCACAAAAAAAATGAAAGATGCAATTTTATTACTTCCCTTAAACAAGCCATTAGGACCAAGCAAAATCCCTGCTTGGGCTCTAAAAGACAGCATTAATACTGTAAACCCAATTCTTACGATGATTATCAATGAATGCATCTCGAAATCCGTATTCCCATATACCTTAAAAAAGGCACACGTTTTTCCCATATTCAAAAAAGGCGACTCGACAGATCCAGTAAATTATCGTCCAATTTCTGGGTGTTTGAAAAAATTTTTTCATCCCAAATTCACGAATTCTTAGCAAATTCCAATATTCTAAATCCAAAACAATTTGGCTTTCGTCCAGGTTATTCAACTAATGATGCTCTTTTATACACAACAGAAAAAATCAGATTCCATCTCGATAAAAATAACATAGCAGCGGCTGCATTTCTTGATTTATCTAAAGCATTTGATTCACTCTCTCATTCAGTCCTTGAAAGGAAACTAAGTCACATTGGCTTTGAACAGTCAGCAACAACTCTTATTAAGTCATTTCTAGAAAACAGACAGCAATTGACAATAGTAAACGGCGAACACTCAGATTGGCTTAAATTAGAGCAAGGTGTTCCCCAAGGTACTGTATTAGGACCACTGCTGTTCAACTTGTATGTAAATGACTTACCACAAACAATAGACAAATCATGTACGCTAGTACAATATGCCGACGACACGACTCTGCTTAGTTTTCATTCAGATCACGAAACAGCAACAAAGAGCATTGAAAACAATTTCAATAAAATTCTCTTGTATTTTCACTTAAATCGATTAATGATTAATGTAGACAAAACTCAGTTCATTGTATTTTCTGCACCGTCGAAAAAGAAACTAACTGAAAATCTTTCATTGAAAGTTGGAAACTATCAAGTTAATTTAACAGAGACAGTTAAATTTCTCGGCGTCAATATTGACATAAGCTTAACATTCGACAAAGAAATTAACAAAATTTTACAAAAAATGGCTACAGCAATCCAAACGATAAAATGCATCCGTGACGAAATCCCTCTGCGTACTAGAATTCTCCTGTTAAATAATCTTGTACTGAGCCATTTGCACTATCCATGCATGCTCTTAAACGGATGTACGCAAGATAATATTGAGAAACTCGAAAAACAAATAAAATGGGGAATCAGGATAATAATGAATATAAGCAAACGAGATTCCGTTACACTTCTAAGGAAACAGCACAAAATTCCTACTGCTCGGAATATTATCGAGTACCGATCAGCACACTACCTTCACAGGTTATGCCGAAACGATGCCCCAGCTTTCACGCATATAAGATTCCCAAATTCTGAATTCCGCTATAACCATCGAACTGGAACATTACTGTTCCCTTTAACATGTAAAACTGATTTCCTTCGTAAGTCTTTCTTATTTACATCAATCAGGAACCTTAACACAATAATCCGAACCTTGTTTAATCGAAAACTGCCGTACACATTGACAAAAACTCTGATTAAAAATTTCATCATAGGAAAAAATGACACCCTGTTACCCAATAAGGAGAGTCTTTCCGTATCCAAGGACATTTATTTTGTTAAATCAATTATTTGATTCAACCTCGTAGTAATTTATGTTTTTTCTTGTTATGTTATATAACCATTGCGTAATATTGTACACTAGATTCTTATACAATCAGTTCTGCAACTGCATAAGTATATTGAAACAATAAAGTGTCCCCTCTCTCTCTCTCTCTCTCTCAGGACCATCTACACAGCTGATGAATTTTGGTACTTTTGAGAAAGTGGCAATAAGTCAACAAAGTAATGAACTGGCATTAAATTCACTAAAACTATACCGCAAACCCGACTGAAGACAATACGAACACAGAAACAAAAACCTAGCCGTTTCGCCTACAAATTGAGGAAATCACAACAATCAATCATATCCTACCGACTTTATATTTCAACGCAGAAGCAAAATTTCAGTGTAGAAAAGGTATGTCGAAGCCATGGAATTTGTCATGATACACGGACGCAAAGCGGAGATTCGCACCACTTAAGATACAAACAGCAAGTATAGCATGCCAAGCTAGCAGAAAAAAAAACAAAATTCACCACGAAATTTCAGTTTTGTCTTCAGTGATGTTCAATTTGAAAAAAAACCACGTCCAGAAAAACAATCGCCAGTGTTGAATAGCAACCAAAAACAATTACCGAGCGGTTCCTAGGCCGAAAACAAATAGGTAAACTCCCGTTGAGCGGAAAACAAAATTGTACTAATGAAAATTCTACTGCTCTTCATTTTTCCACATTCTTACACCCCCTTCAGAAATATGCATAAGGATAAAAATCCACCTTTCCCTTCAAACGAAGCAAAATTAGATTAGTGAACCGAAAAAAAAAACCTTATCATTTGAGGCCAAATTAACTCTTAGGCAAAAAATTGAAAAAGAAATTATAAAAAGAATCAGATTTTGTTAATTTACAATTCACAGGAATAAATCACAAAGACGTTCAACTACAGTGAAACTCGCTCACAGCCCAAGGAAAATCTGTGATGAGGCAACTAATCCCACAAAACAAGCGGCAAAACATGGGCCGACAATTTCTTTTTACGGAGTTTATACTGTTTAAAAAAAAAGTCCAGGCCAGATTCGAACTAATGACACTAGCTATCCCAGGTATAGTTGTTACCTCAAGGCCACTTGTGCCTATCATATGATTCAAGTGATTCTGTTTAAAACAAAGTTAACCCTGCAAGTTGTTCTGTTTGACACGCTGTTTAACTGAAAAAAATCTTTATTCAGATTTGATAATGCTAGCTAATCGCAAGCGTAGATAGAAGAAAAATGACTCTTACTTTCAAAGGCGCAAGACATGAGAGCCAGCTTTGCGCAGTGTTTATCTGAAAAACACTCAATTTTTCAGTTACAACAAAAACCCAAATAGCATATAACGATCAAATCAAGACGTACTGACTCGAAGCATTGGAGTCTATAAACATCGAGAACTGATTCTAGAGATGTTATAGCTGCCAGACTGTCATAAAACATTGCCAGCTCCCGCCGAATGTCAAGGAATGTTTTCAGATTCGAAAGCATCGTACTAAGGGGTAACTCGGTTTCATGAGATGTCGACATTGTCAGTTCAATAGACTCAAGCACATTTATGCAGTCTTGGCCCTGAGATTGCCATCTTCCAAGTTGCCTCTTGTTCGCAATAAAATCTAGAGAAAAATAACTCCTTTCGACTTGAAGCATAATGATAAACGCGTCTCGCAATTTGTGCAAAGGGAAGCGGGATAAGAAGTGATTTTTATCCATCAAACCCTTGCATTGGTCAAAATTAGCTTCCATTAGCTTCTCAACGTAAGAAGCTATAATTGGTTCCTCTGGAAAACAACATGCAAGGTAATTATGTTCACTGAGCACTTGGGCAAAGCATTCACTATCAATGTCAGCCATTTCTTTTTTCGAAATCATTTATTAATCTGAATTTAAACCAAAACTATTCAATCAGAATGCAGTACAAAAACAAAATGAACTTAAATGTTGTGATAAACTTATTAAATAGTTTCAGAATCCGAAATGGAAAGTAACATGGTTCATTGTGCCATTCTGCTAGACTGGCACAGCGCAACCTTCCGACGAATAGAAGTAGAGGCCTTAATGGTTGAAAATTACTGCAAAGGAGGGTCGGAATATTCGAGAATTTTAAATTTCTAAAATTTCGATTGACGAACGGATATTTCTCAGAAATACAAAAAACGGCCATTTTGACTTAAAAAAGTGATAAAGTAAGAACAACAGCGAAAATAGTGAAAAACAGTTGGACGATAACGATATAAAAATGAAGCCTCTTATCGTGACGATCCGCACGATAGGACACTTAGCGGAAGGAATTAGCGAGAAGGGAGGCTTCAGTGGGGAAGTAGTGGGGAAGTAGTGGAGAGCAGTACCCTCCCGTGCCACGAATTGGGAGTAATAACGACGTTATTACAGGAAAAACACTGAAGCGGAGGCTCGGCCCCCCAGAGACATTATATGGTGAGGGACTATAATAAACTGACTTTTTAGCTACTCTGATGCCATAAATATTTGAATTATTATCGGTATTGATTGACATTTTAGAATATGAGTAGCTAGAAAGAGTAAATATAGAACTGTCACCAAAAACATAGTAAAATAGGGTATTCGAGCCGTGTTTTTAATAGCAAAACACGGCTCGATGCCATAAGCATTTGAATTAACATACGTATTGATTGATATTTTAGAATATGAGTAGCCAGAAAGAGGAAATATAGAACTGTCACCAAAAACATAGTAAAATAGGGTATTCGAGCCGTGTTTTTAGAACTGTCACCAAAAACAGTTCTAAAAAACGGCCTCTACTATCACCAATATAGAACTGTCACCAAAAACATAGTAAAATAGGGTATTCGAGCCGTGTTTTTAATAGCAATTACGTAGTCTGAGGATCCGAGACCCAGCTATGCGGTTGTGTTCGCATGTAAACGAAAGCTGATCAAAAGTCGTTTGACTGATGGCCTAAAAATAGTAACTTTTTACTGAGCCCTAAACAGACCAGAAAATCAACTGGCAAGGTGGAGACGGTGAAAAACGAGTAGACTTAAGGTAACTGACGCCTGCCAGTCGTTAATAGGTAATTTTTCTACGCTCTGTCTGTAACAGTTGCCTACTTTGGCCACATATGAGGCTTAAGAAAAATAGGCCCTATAACCATTTGCTCAAGAGCCAGGGACACTATCTCTTGTGTTTTTCTACCTCAAAAACGGTCGGAGCCAATTTGGTTCACTTGCGACATGAGACTAGAACCCGTTACAGCTTAAAGGCCACTACCAAAATACCCCTTACTCTAGAAAATAAGAACGTCCCCATACTTAGGTCTCAAAATACCCAAAATACACGAACGCCGTTAAAAACAGGGTCGGAACAATCCGTTAAGTTACTTTTTATTGGACAGTGGAACTTTGATCCATTTCAGATGGATCAACCTTAAACTCGCCTTATCTCAACATACTTATCACAAAATACACTCGGGAAAATTAAATTAGGTACTTACATAGCAGCACACTTGAGAATCAGAGTAATTAAGCTAATTAGTAACTCTAGCATAAATATAATTGAATGTAATTCAAGAAGTTTGCTATGAGTAAATTCCAATCAAAGGAAATGAGTTTTAACTTGAGAATGTAGTTTTGGATCTGAACCATTGGGAGACTTCAGTTGTCTGCCTTTCCATTGAAGGTTCACTCTGGTTCAGTTGGGTTTCGATTTGCTCTTGTGATTGTTCTGTCTCCTATATCAGATAGGACAGCTCTACTCTCGTTTTCTACGACGGAAATTGCAAATAGCAATTTCCCACTGTCTTTATTTGACAACTTTCCCGCAATTGTAATTCGGTTGTTCTGTTTTTATATTTGATGTTTTCAGTTGTCGCGATAAAACTGAGCATGACAGGCTCCATTCGAATTTTCGAAAAATTCAACTTCATTCCAAAACCACGTGTTTCGTGTTCCTCAAGGTCAAACTTCCAGATATGACCGACTGGCACAGTCACTGTGTAGTATTTGGGCGAATGTTACATAGACGTTTTTAGGGCGCTCCTGGGTGGGCCTGTTAAAGGCATGAGACCATCACGATCAGCAAAAGTTTCAGCGACGAACCCTCCGCTCCGGGAGTATGCCCGATTTAAAGGCCTTAGTGACCTTTGTTGTGAAAGTGGGAAGGTACGTACCCTCCGCCTAGTACTATTTAGCTTTTTAACTTAGTCAACACCGAAAAATCCGGCGGCCGGAGGGTTAGGTGGGAAGTCATGAGCCCGCTTTTCCCAGGGTCCCGGGACCAAAAACAATCAAAGAGAAAGCGTAAAACCAAACAAAAATAGTGTATAACCAAGAAAAGACAAAAATAAATTTAATTGAAAACAAAAAAGTACAAAAACAGTAAAAAATCCAAAAAAGACCAAAAACAAAAAAAAACATAAAGTGACAGTTTATATGTTATTTCCGGACGAGATGTGATCTGACCTTCCTATTTGTTGTTGTTTCAGATTGATTTATATCATTTCTGATAGAAAGATTGTGTGTTTTGGTGACGGGTTGGGTACCCTCACTTGAGTGTAATTTGAGTATTTAAGCACGTTAATGGTGATTTTGCCGGTGAACGGAGGGCAGAGTGGCAAGCTGACCGACGTGCTCCACACTCAACAAGGGCATCAGGGACAACATCCACAACAACTGTTGGGTATCGTTGAAAAAATTTTAGTGTCGTTCGGGTACTATTTCATCAAAACTTAAGAGGTGGGAGGCACGATTGGCGCGGTCCGATTGTACCCTCCATCGATCGCGAATTTCCGAGTTAAGGGTCTTAATTCGGGTATTTTGGTGCAAAAGAGGGTATAGTAATATTCATTAACGACTACTAATAGATTATTGTCCCTACTATATTTTACTTATCTCCTATTTAGACCCGAGAAATACCCCAATTTTGTCGAAAATTACTGATTTTCGACCAAACTGCAGACCCCCAAAATTTTGGATATCCGAGCTTTTCTAAGCAGCAAAAAGTTTTTATACAGGGAGTTACTACGTAATTCGATCCCCCTGACTAAAGAAACCGCGCAAAAAAGATTCAGTAGAAGTTAGAAAAAATTTTGATAATTTTCCGAGTTTTGTCAATCTGTTTTGGGGATCGAGTTTTTGAGTTTTTAGAGTTGGAGCAATAAAAATTTTTGCGTTAGGAGTGTGCTAGCATAAAGTGCTCGGTTACCAGAGAACTTTTTGAGCAACCCTCCGATTAGCTCCGTAGATAAAGCTAACGACCTAAAGATTGGAAAAGGAAGGAATCGGAGGGTCCAAATTTGATAGTTATTGGCCAAATTTTTGTTTCCAAACCAATTTTGGTCCGTTTTTTGCCTTGTTCCAGTGCCGTACGGGGCTATTACGCTCGTTTCAATTTTTTTGAGGCACTTTCACTGAATTGCGGAAAAAGTCTTTCAGAACCTATATAGGTGGTGAAAAAAGGCCATTTTGACGAACGCGTTTTTGGCGATTTCTCAAAGACTAGCCAACCGATTGGGATATTTTTGAAACCAATAGTCGAAATTCTTAGCCAATTTTGCGGACCGCAATTTTTTTGGGTTGATGATCTCGGAAAAGAAAACTTTTTGAAACTTTGTTGGTTCGGAGGGTCCGAATTTTAGGGAACCCTCGAGCGGCAGAAATTTTTATAAGATCACCTTTTTATCCTACTGGGAGGATTGACCGTGTCAGTCAACCTGGTTTTAAGTCAGTTACACCGCATTCGGAGGCTTTCCCACGGTAGAATAACCCGTTTTCTTGATTTTTGGGGAACCCTCCGAAGTAACCCTCCGGAGTCTGCTAAGCTCCTTAGCAACGCTCCTTGGTGGAAATTTTTGCACGAGACCCTCCTAAGAAAGTAAGACATTTGCCCACAGAGAATTTAGCTTGTTTTGACACCTTCTGAGACTACTTGGAGGCCCTTCCAAGTGGGATTCGAAAAATTTGAAATTTTGAAGGAACCCTCCGAAGTAACCCTCCGGAGCGTATTAAGCCTCTTATTGACCCTCCTTAGTGAGTTTAAGGGGACCGGCCGAAGTAACTTGGGTGATTAAGGTACCCTCCGAAGTAACCCTTCGAGGTAAGCTAAGTGTCTTTACAACCCTCCGAAGTAACCCTCCGGAGTGACCTAAGCTTCTTAACAACCCTCCTTATTGAACATTTAGGGGAGTAGTAGATGTTGGAGGTTAAGTGGGGGGGGGGGTTTGGGGGGGGGAGGTGGCGGACCCCCATGTATTAAGATAGGGAATAGAGCATCCGATCCGCCAGCTATGTATTAAGATTGGGTATAGAGTCTACAATGTATTAAGATAGGGAATACCAATGACTGCTTTGTTACAATCAAACAATCTTTTGTAAAAAAAAAGCAGTGATGATTCAGGAACAGATAAATAAAACTTAGTCTTAAAGAAAAAAACTTCCCTCGATCGGAACACTCCAAAAGAACGAAGCCCAGGACACTGTCTTCTCAAGTGAGTGTGTATTTGCCTAATACACTCACCGAGGTCTTCTTTTAGGTGTCCTGCGATTGCCCGAGCTGTCCTACTAAGTAGCTCAAGGCAACCTCTGATCGAAAATCACCAAAGTATATGAAAAAGCTCCCCCACACCCGGGACGCCCCAAGTGCACGAGAGCAGGGAACACCTTTTCTTCTCAAGTGGGTGTGTATTTGCCTAATAAACTCACCGAGGTCTTCTTTTATGTGTTCCCGGATTGCCCGAGCTGTCCTATTAAGTAGCTCAAAGCAACCACACAACCAAAATAATCAATCAAAAAAAATTTTTGGTTCGGTTACTTCCGTCAGACCCGATCTAGAATCCAAATTTGATCACAAATCCCCAAGTCAAAGGGGCTCCCGTGATCCTAATATGCACGCCCGTTGGTAGTTGACCTTTTATTCCGATTCTAAATGGATATTTTAGTTGCTCAAATTGCCCCAGAAGGTTCCCCTAAGTAGTAGATGTTGGAGG